CTGGGTGTGGTGGCATATGCCTGTAGTCCCAGATACTCATAAGTCTGAAGTGGGAGGATAGATTGAGCCTCCCAGATACTCAGAAGGCTGAAATGGGAGGATTGATTGATAGAAGTGGGAGGGAGGTTGATGCTGCAGTGAGCCGAGATTGTGCCAGTGCACTCCAGTCTGGGTCGTATAGAGAGACTCTGTCTCAAGAAGTGTGGTGGCTCAGGTCTGAAGCCTCAGCACTTTGGGAGGCCGAGGTGGGTGGATCACTTGAGGTCAGAAGTTCAAGACCTGCCTGACCAACATGGTCACATCCTGTCTCTACTAAAAATACAAAAAATAGCTGGGCATGGTGACACACATTTGTAATCCCAGCTACTTGGGAGGTTGAAGCAAGAGGATTGTTTGAACCCGGGAGGTGAAAGTTGCTGTAAGCCAAGATCACGCCACTGCACTGCAGCCTGGGTGACAGAGCAAGACTCTGTCTCAAAAAAAAAAAAAAGGAAAAACATCCCAAAAGACATGTACATTGATAATTATAAGGAATTGCTTAGAATATTAGATGTAAATAAATGAAGACAGGCTATATTTGTGAATGGAAATCTAAATATTGTGAAGATTTCAATTATTCCACAATTTATCTATAGGTCCAACCTCATTACAATCATGGTCCCTACTCTCCTTTTTTGGGTATAAATTGATAGGCTGATTTTAAAAGTTATGTAGATTTAAGAAAACTAAACATACTCTTACCATATGATCCAGGCAATTGTGCACCTGAGTATTTACCCAAAGGAGTTGGACACTTGTGTCCACACAAAAACCTTCACACAGCTGTTTATGGCAGTTGTATTCATAATTGTCAAAACTTGGAACCAGTCAAGGTGTTTTTCCGTAGATGAATAGATAAGTAAATTGTGATGCTTCAAGATAATGAAATACTTTTTAGTGCTAAAAAGAAATGAGCCATCAAGCCACGAAAAGAGGAAACTTAAATGCCTATTACTAAGTGAAAGAAAACAATCTGAAATGCTATATATTGTATGATTCCAAATGTATGACCTTTTGGAAAAGGTGAAACTAAGGAGACAGTAAAAAGATCAGTGGTTGCCGGAGGTGGGGACAGGGAGGAGCCATTAATAGGTAGAGCACAGGGGAATCTTATGGCAGTAAAATTGTATGATACTGTAATGGTGGATACATGTCATTATACATTTGTCCACACCCACAGAATGTACAATGCCAAGAGTAAAACCTAATGTAAACTATGAAGTCTGAGTGATAATGATACATCAATGTAGGTTTTTCAGTTGTGAGAAATATGTCACTCTGATGGGAGATGTTGATAAAGGGGGAGGCTGTGAATGTGTTGGGACAGGGGCTATACAGAAAATCTCTGTACCTTCTGCTTAATTTTGCTGTGAATCTAAAAGAGCTCTAAACAATTGTCTATTATAAATTAAAAATAAAATATTCAACTTTACCAATAAATAAATTTTTACCTAAATATTATATAACATGTGAAGAACCTAAAATAGTAAAGATAATTTTGTTTTGTAAAACGACATTGTAGGGTTTGCATTACTTAACTTTGAGGCTTACTATAAAGCTACAGTAATAGAGACTGTAATAGTGGCATAAGGACATATATATATATATATATATATATATATATATATGTCAATGAAAAGAGAGTCCAAAAATAGACCCACACATGGTCAAGTGACTTTCAAAAAAGGAGCCAAGGTAATTAGATGAGGAAATTATATCTTTCTTTTTTTTTTTGGCAATTATATCATTCTTAACAAATGATGCTGAAGTGAATGGATATCTGCATGGAAAAAGAAAGCTCTTACCTAAGCCTTTACTTTACAGCAAACACCAACACCTGCTTGAAATAAATCATAGACCCAACTGTAGAAGCTAAGACTATAAAATCTCTAGGAAAAAAATAAAAAAGATAGTAGTCACAACTTTGGTGTAGGCAATGATTTCTGAAAGGGACAAAAAATATTAAGCAAATTGAATGATTTAATAAATTGTATTTAATCAGAATTAAGCCCTTCTGCTCTTTGAAAGCACTCGAAATTGAAAGTCAAGCCACAGATTGAGAATAATACGTATTATAGTAAATGTCCTTGACAAAGATCTTTTCTCTAGAATATGTATTTAAATCTTATTAATAATCTGGTAAACAAAGCAAAACGAGCAAAAGATATGAACAAGAGTTTCATGAACGAAGATATATAAGTGATGATTAAGCACATGAAAATGTGTTCAGCATCATCAAAGAAGTGCAAATGACACCACCAATGAGATATCACCACAGAAGCACTAGAGTGGCTAAAATGTAGCATATTAGATGTTAATAAAGCCATAGAGCATCTGGAACTCCTATATATTGCTGTGGGAGAAACGTAAAATGATATGACAACATTGGAAAACAGTCCCACACTTGTGTATAATTACATACCTGATAATATAACTTCTAAGAATTGATAGGAATAGAGAAATATAAACATTTCCAGGCAACCTCTGTGTTTAAATAACCATAGCCATTTTATTTGTAATAGCCCCAAACTGGAATAACCCACATTTACTTTAATAGGTGAATATATTAAAAAATTGTGATATATCCATATGATAAGTGAAAGAAGCCAGACACCAAAGATTACTATTTTGTTATTGTATTTACATGAAATATGAAAATAGATATAATCTATAGTGACCAAAATTAGATCTGCATTTGCCTTTTTCTGGGAATAGAGGTTTGGGCATTTACTCCTAAAGGTCAGAATGAAATCTTTCTGAGATTATAGAAAGAGACTATATATTGGGTACTTTGTCAGATGAGTGTATACATTTAAAAATGTATCAAATAAGCATATTTATTGTGTGTAAATTGTACCTTATTTAAGTTTATTTGGAAAAAAAATACATAGCTCTGAATATACTGGTTCATTTAAATTTGGGTTAAGTATTTAAGAATTTTTTTCCGTGTGTTGAATCAAACAAGTAGAGTTGACAGTGGAGGTCATAGCCTCATTCTCGAGTCATTTTCATGTCAAATAGGAGCTTGGGCAACTGGACTGACTGCAGAAAACTGGGTGCAAATATTGGTTATAAAATCCTGGGAAAATGCAAAGGGGATGGGAATAGAAGGAACGTGGTATATTTTCATGCCACAATTAGAGTTAGCAGCTGCATAATTCTGATTTTCCTTTTTATTCATTTCAGATTAACTAATTTGACTTGAGGCCATAACATGATTGAGTAAAAATAGTCGTTCTGAGCATAGAAATAAATTTACAAGGTTAATTTAGGGTGTCTCTCTGTTATTAGATGTATCTGAAAAACACTTGTAGGCAAAATTAGACCAAATTAAAAACACTGGGGTTTCAATTATAATCAACATTTAAATATAAATTTTATTATTGTTTATTATAATAATAAATAATGTAGTGTTTAAATGTGCAGTCATGGGTCAGACTACATTTTGCAAATTTCCAGAGTAAGGTAAACAGATTATAAAGCTTTCTGGTATAATATTAACAGAACTAAAAAACATGAATAATATTATAGAATGGACTTTGCCTAGTGATTCTTAATCAATTCTCTTGGAACCAATACTCTCTTAATTTTACTGAAAGAAAATTCATATACAATTTAATAACTTTAATATAATTAAATCAATACAACATCTTAACTATAAAATAAAAAAGATAAAACTATCTGTATAAGACAACATGCATTTCAATATATAAACGCTTGGGTAAAACTACCTTAGGAGAGAAAATGAAATAAAAGTTTGCACCTACTCTTAGATCACCCCAGTGTAATTGATGGGACATTGATATTGTGCTGGTGACTCAAATACCATGAGCAAGGTTGTCATCAGTGATGTGCTTCTCTGAAAGCTCATCTTTACACCCATTGACAAATAGGTGGAAAGTCCAAAAACACAAAGTAAATTATCTTCTCAATTTATATAGCAGACGCATCCTGGAAAACAAAAACACACAAAGAATTGGTGTGTAAACAAACTTAAATTAGGTTTCAAATATAATGCAAGGTTTTCTTGTTTTGTTTGATTTCATTTGTTTACTACATGAATGACCAGTGGCCCATTCAGAAGTCCAAGGACAAAATATGTTGTAGGATTGTCCTGACCATTGAGAGACAGCTTGCACCCTAACCCCACAGTACACTAAGACCCGCAGTACCCAAAGACCCGCAGTACCCACTGTTCCTGTAGTAAACCAAAAGACATCCTGGGACTTACAAAATCCATTAAGGAGTTGTTTCAAACCTTATAAGAACCACTGACCTAGGCCATAAAAAACAAATGAACAAACAATAACAAAAACTAGGAATGGCAGTAGTTCTGCTGAGTTAAAGAGGAGAAACCAGGACTGGCAGAGATGAAATTGTGTCTGAAAGGAAACCATTACAAAGGCCTTTATTTCCATTAAGGAAATGTCTCCTGACTGAAATGAAAGCCTTCATTTTAACCATTTCTTTGTTCAGGAACATTTCAGGGGCTCCAGGGGGGCTGCTTTATTTTGCACTCCCTTTATTGCCCTGCCAGCAGCCTACCTAGCAGTAAGTCCCCGGCCTGCAGTGCGGCTTCCCTAGAGGCTACCTTCCCCGGGCTGGTGACTTCTCAGACACTCTGGCCTTGGGGACGTCTTGGATCTTCTAGCACACAGTGGCCGCACACAGTTTTGCCGGGCCTTTCTCAAGAGGTAAAAGTTCCTAGATGTTTGGATTTTCCCAAAATAATGCCTTCCATGTGTAGGGATTTTACAGATTTCGAAGTGCTTTCATATCAATTACTTTCTTTAATTTAAAAGAAGTTCAGATCCCAGGTCAAGCTAGGAATGCTCCGGTCTCAGAGGGAAGGAGCGCTCTAGGAAAGGAGGATCCTTTAATAGAGGGCCGTGCTGGGGCCGCGGGCCCGGAGAGGGGGAGAGTGGAGGAGTGTCCTTTTTCTCCCCCACCCTCCGGCGGCGGCAGGGCCAAAGCCAGAGGGGCTGTCCCCTCCTCTTCCCCGGCAGCTGCTCGCTCTGCTCACAAGCCAGGGGCAGGGGACCAGGCAGCAGCGACTCCTCTGGCTCCCGAGAAGTGGAGCCGACCGGTGCCACTATGATGCTGGGAGCCGCCGGGGTCCTCCTCCTCCTGCTGCTCTCCGGGGGCCTCGGGGGCGGCCAGGCGCAGCGGCCGCAGCAGCAGCGGCAGCCACAGGCACATCAGCAAAGAGGTACAGTCGAGGCACGGGCTTGGGTTGCATCCTTTGCCGGGACCAGACTCCTCACTTCCATTCTTCCGAGAGTTGTCTGGGGACGCTGTCTTGCTTCGCCTTCAGAGAGTGCGCTTTGGGGCAGGAGGAACTTGATGCAAGTTCAAGTTCAAAGCCCTGAGAGAGTGGTGTACGGGGAATTACCCAACTTCTGCAAAAGGAACGGGGAGTGCTTTTCATTGCTCACTCGTTTCGAAGAAGTCTTGCTACCAGGATATAACCTGTAAATTGATTTCTGAAATCTTTTCAAGAGAAAAACTTTTACCAATTGAAAAAAAAAAAAAAAGAATTTATTCAAATCAGATCCAATTTTGCAGAGAAAGGTTTCCCAAACTGTGCTTCATCGTGGGACTTTATGGAGGGTATCAGGGTAGCTGACACACCTTAAAAAACAATTACACACACACACACACACACACACACACACACGTATATATATATATATATACTAATTTTGCAGAACTTTTTTTCAACTTTTAAAACAGGATTTCTGAAGAAGTTATGTGGTTTTTTCTTTCATGGCAATGGTGCCTCCAGCCTCACCTTTTTCAAACCCATGTCTTATTTTCATATCCTATTTTGTAGGGAAATCATGAAATTTCTCCTTTTGCTTAAATACAGAGTAGACTTTTATGTCATGTGTACTTTAAGGCCACAGTGACTAGATATACACTTTGGGAGACTTTGGAAGATGGCTCTATTTAATGTAACTTTATAACTTATTCTCCTCAGAGCCGCTTAGTGTTTATGTGTATATACACATATGTATAGTACTGCTGAAAATGTTAGATTATAAGAACAAATATCAGAACTACTGACTTGGCTAGACGTTAACTAGAAGAAGGGTAAGTATATTTCAAAATTTTAGCAGTTTAAAGTTTCAGAAACTTTTTATGTATATAGGCTCCCAAAAGTTTCAGAAACTCCCAAAAGTTTGGAGTGAACACTTTCGGGAGTCTTTGAAGAGTTATTTCATTATCATGAATTTTAAACGAAGCACTTGTGCACTATTCTAAAATATACTTTGAAACACATTATTTCAGCAAACAATTTTGTAAGTTGGAAAACCTGTATCAAAGCAAAAAAAATTTAAGAAATATTTATGCTTTGATTTTAAATATCAAAATGTTTAATTTAAGAGTACAAAATCTGTAGGTTAGAAGCTTCAAAAATTTTTAATGAGGCTGAATCTGCTAAAGTTTTGAAATATACTTAACCTTCTTCTAGTTAACTTCTAGCCTAGTCAATAGTTCTGATATTTGTTCCTGTAATCTAGCATTTTTAGCAATACTATTTTTTTTTTAAGGAATAAAGAGATATCCTAAGCTCCTTCTATAATAATAACTCCCCGATTAAAATTCTTGGAATAAAAATGACCTTGAATTCATTATATGACTTTTTTTCTTCTATTTTTCCTTTTGCTTTTCTGAGAGGTTAAAATGGGACCGATATGGCTTAATTAATAGAATTTATGAGACAGTGATTTTGAGAGTATCTCTGGCCACTGATTTTTAAAAATGCTACTTTTAATGATTAAACTTTGCTCAATTACAAGATGTGTTTTAACAAGACATGATACTTTAATAATGTGAGGCAGCTGGGAGAAATTAGGGGCCAGGGGCACCAGCCCTTATGTTCACTTGGAATGGGGCAGAAACTCAAAGCATGCAGAGTAGGGATCAAGTGAATTGTTGCTGAGAATTATCCTGAGCACATATGGGATCTCTCTTCTTTCCTCTCCCTTCTTATTTACTCTCTTTTTAAGCTAAGGTAATATTAACTCTGATTTCTATGACCCAAGCACAAGGTGAAGTTAATTCAGGAGGAAGGGTTTATACTGCCATTCTGTTAAGATACCGCTTAGATGCTATATAAAATAAAGAATTTTATTCAAAATAACTACAACATACCATCTACTATAGACTGCTATAATCTGCATTCTAGTATCCATTATTGTCTTTGTTATAGAACATTTACAATATATTTGGTGGTTGGCTCAAGATAAATGATGTAAACCTGTTAATGTTAAAAGCATGTAAATTTCATGAAACTTTAAAATTGGGTAGTGCTTTATGATTTAAAAATACCGTATGTGTATGATCTTTATTTGCCTTCAGATATTATTATTCGCAAAGAACAAATTTAAAACTTAGGCTTGCAGTAGTTGTAACTTAAGTTTACATAAGAATAACTTAATTTTCAACAACTGAAACACTTCTGGTATCATTTGTGCTGAAGTCCCTTCTTAATTGTTCCAAGGTTATTTTCCATTTATTTTTTAGGCCATGTTTCTTTTCAGTATTGTTCAATTAAAGCAAGCCCTTTGTGAACATCATGGGATCTGAGTTTGACTGGAGAAGTGTTTTCCTGGCTATAATCAACTTTTCTGTTTTTGATTATACTAGCACTGACCTTTCTAGTCAAGTGCTAATTGTGTAGAAGCTCTATTTCCCCTTATTGTTTGGTGACAATTTATTAAGAATTTTGATGTGAAGCAATCATTTCTAGATGTTATAATTGAGTTAGAAACACAACCAGAGTTTTTGCTTGTTTTTTACTTTTTCTTTGAAATCTTATGTGGTTTCTATAGCATACTGTATTGTGGTTTGAATAGCATTGATTCAGCATGAATGATATTCCAAGGAAATTATTTAGCTATATTTAAAATGGACAAAATAGGAGAATGATGTACCAAAATGACTCTGCATTTCGGCAAGGCAGTGTCTAATTTTTTTTCTGATATTCTTGTGAATAATATGTGGAAATGGAAGCACAATGGTAGATAAATTGTAACTGATTGAAAAATAGTTTCCAAAGAATATTGCATAGCGGATTAAGGACAACCTGGAAAGAAGTCTGTAGCAGTGCAACAGAGGTTTTCTTATGTTCAACTATCTTGGTAGTGGCTTGATGGAAAACATAGAATCCAAGCATATCAGTACTGCAGGTGGTCCAAAATCGATATAGGTGGCTAAGCTGGTTAATAACAAGTTCAGAAATTTTAAAGGTCTCTATAGCCTGAACCATGAATGAAACCTACATGAAGCTGGTTTTATTATTCCTATCCACATGTTAAAAAAAACTCCATTTGTCTTCTTCTGGAAATTAGTTGTATCCTTCATATGTTTAGGAATGAATATAAAGGCAGGAAGAGAAAGGCCGCTCAATTGCAGCAAGTTCAAGATGAACATATAGTGTGATATGGCAACAAAAAAGTTGGCTCACATTTATACAAAACTCAGAGAAGCACATGGGTCTGTTGGTTAACACACATTTGGGTATTTCATTGAAAAATGGGTGTAGATTCAGAGAAGGGAGAGCAGAATGGTTAAGAGTCTGATAAGATTTTCAGAAGAGGAATGTCCCAAGTAAAGCTTTTCCATCTGAACAAGGAAAAATTTAGGGAAGGCAATCATCAGAGATATCCTCAAATTTTCAGAAGAGTCGTATGTGAAAGAGGGACTATTCCAAAGGCTGAATGTGGATCCATAGAAGAACATGACAAACAACCAGGTTTGAATTTTATAAAATGGAGAAAACTGCTCTTCTCCTCTCTCCCTCCCCACGCCATTTTGAGCTGTTCAGAAATAGTTAGATTGTGTTTGAGCACATTGCTTCTGGAAATGATCATGCTGTGATCAACTAGTCAGGGATGCTTTATGAAGGAATGCCTCTACTGAGAGGAAGTTAAGACTCATCAACCATCTAGCCATTTTTCAGTTCTAAGATTCTAATATTATAGTCTATCGTTTTTAGGGTGCCTACGTGTATTCAGCTTCTGAATTTTTAAAATGTGAAGAAAATGTTAAACATATAAAAATGTGTATTTTAATCCCTTCTGGGATTTAAAATAAAAACATGTTTGAGATAATCCTCACACGTATTGGGCACGAATACTTAAAAATTTAGTATGGAATTTCCACATCATCCACAATTGTACAGTTCTAAAACATCTTGTGTTATAACATGCAAGAATACTTTGTAAATTACCTGAGAAATTTTCAGGGGATTCATAGTGGCCATAAACCTGGAAGTAACTTTTTTTGATGTTTTTCTTTGCTGCATATGTAACTTTTTGGTTTGTTTGCTGTGCACTGACCTAATAGTTTAGTAAAACGATTCATAACAGATAAAATGCATGGCATTTCAACATATTCAAAATATTTATATAAATATATTCAACTCTGAATATTGTAGATGTGGTAGAATTAATGAAATTGACATAAATTTTATATTATGTTGTATTTCACATATCAATGTATACAGATTTCTGGTCTATCTTAGTCTTAAGATTTTTCTACCTAGGATTTCATGCAAACTAATGAACTGAATCTATATCAAGAGATTCTGGGGGCTGGGTATGTTGGCTCATGCCTGTAATCCCAGCACTTTGGGATGCCTAGGTGGGTGGATCACCTGAGGTCAGGAGTTCAAGACCATCCTGACCAACATAACGAGAACTCCATCTCTTAGCCAAGCATGACTGCACATGCCTGTAATCCCAGCTACTTGGGAGGCTGAGGCAGGAGAATCACTTGAACCCTGGAGGCAGAGGTTGCAGTGAGCCAAGATCATGTCACTGCACTCCAGCCTGGGCAACAGAGGGAGACTCTATCTCAGAAAAACAAAACAAAACAAAAACTTAAAAAGAGATGCAACTTATCATCTGTCCAGTTTGCAGTAGGGCCTTATTTATCATCTAGAGACCATATGAAAAAGATTAGGAAGAAATTCTTGGAAATAATTATTGTAAATAATTGCACAAGTGGTTTAACTTTTAATCTAGAAGATTGGGGTTTAGGATTTGTTTATAGTTGCAACTTGAAACTTGCAACTCGATAGCTAAACAGGAATTTAGGCAGAAGCTCTGTTGCAATGAATCAAAAAACAAGATAGAGTTTAGAGAAAGATGAAAGCAGATTGTCCAGGCTTATATATCAAACAGATAGAAATAAAACTAA